TGCGCTGGGGGCAAACAAAGGCGGCAGTTACTTGCAGAGGAGATGAAGGCTGATCTGTGCTGACACACAGATGAGAGCCGAGGGGCCCGGACCCCTCTCCTGGGCAAACCACCCAGCCCCTCTGGTGTTCCAGCTGCTGCCAGGATCCTGAGAGGTTTAACTCCCCGTTAGCTGAGAATTACTTTAAGATCTTAAGGTAGAAAGTGCTGGAGGAATGCAAAAGTCTTCTTCCAAACCCTAAATTGGGATAATTAATCCAACAACCAAAACCATATTTCTACTGCGTTGGCCAAAAAATACAAAACAAAACATGCTTTCTGTTCTGTTTTTGGAAGGCTTCCCCCCTCCCCATGAAACCACTCTCCATCCCTTTCTCTTCCACCCCCACAAATGATCTGAATTCATTTCCTGGACCACCTCCAGCCTCCAGCTTTCTGGACATTTCAGAAGTTGCGAGATCAAATCCAAAGCAACATGCAACGCTACCATCCATCCCCTCTGATCACGGCAGGCGATAGCTAGAATACACGTATCAGTCGCTCGTACCACTGAGTGCAGGTACTTGTGATCGTACATGTTAATGGGACGCCCGTCCAGCAGCACCTGCCCGTCTTGCAGAGGGTAGAAGTTCTCCAGGATGTTGACACAGGAGCTCTTCCCACTCCCCGAAGGACCCACCAGCGCCGTCACTTTGCCGGGGTGCAGGGTGAAGGACACATTCTGCGACATGGACGGCAGAGCATGCTCAGGTCCTGGCTTTTCCCAGGACCCCGGGGCAGCAGCTACACAAGAAAGGGAGCCAAAATCCGGCCACGGTGACCCTCCACCTTGGTGACATGCCACATAGGCCATCTCTCCTGGCTCTGAGGAAGCAAGAAGCCTCCAAAATTGCTTCAAATTTGCCTGCTGATGTAGCGGGACCTCTAAAAAGCAAACTAACCTCTTTGCTGCCTCCCCCTGCCTCATGACCCCAGCCCCTCTCCCATGGAAACCGTCCGAGGCAGCTTGGCACAAAGCCCTGTACCACGCTGACGTGTTTAATGCCTGAGCGGGGAACAAGGGTTTTATTAATAAATCTCATTCCTTGTAAGGAAGGCCGGCCCTAAACACCCGCTGTTCCTTATAATCTGTTTTCCAGCATGCTGCTGAGCCCGCCTTTACGCATCTCCAAAAGGGCAGCTGACATTTCCCGCGGGCTGGGGATCGGTTATTGCCGGGATGGAGAAGCAGCGCGTGATGCCTCGTGGTGGGGAGCACGCCGTGCCCGCGGGGCTCACCTGGAGGACCTGCGTTGCAGAGCGAGTGCGGTAGGAAAACGTCACGTTTCTGAACTCCACCTTCCCATCCACGTGGTCTGGGGCCAGCGACCCGTCGTTCACCATCGTTGGCTTGCGGTCGATGAACTCGAACACCTTCTCGGCAGCTCCCACTCCCTGCATCAGGCCACTGTAGACAGAGCCGACGGACTGGAAGGCAAGAGGCAATGGTGAGACTCTCCCATGCGATGGAAAAGGCAGGTGGTGCCACTCGTAAAGAGAATGCTCGAAGCATTCCCAAGTCTATCATCTGACATTAACTACAGTCATCAGACACAGAAAAAGAAAGCTTTTCTCCCTAGGCAGGGTACGGAGGGGATATACGGACATACCCAGGGAAAGGGCATCTAAAGGGGTTTGTGCATGGGTAGACCCAGAGGGGAACAGAAGAAGGAAACAGATGGATTGGGAAGAGAAGACGTGCGCCAGGAGATACATGACCCAAACTTCCACCAGAATCCTCCACGTATCTCTCTTTGCTCAAGACCAGCAGCTCGCCGACCCAACGGCTGAACGGAGCGCACGTACGGCAACACGTTGCACCACCTCCCGAGGGCAGCTGGCTCTTGCCCCAGCACACGTGTCTCAAATGCAGAGCAGCTCCAGGCTGGACCTTTCTAGACAACCGTTTGGCAGCTGATACGGCCGTTCCCTGCCAAGATTGTGGATTTACCGTTGCGCTTTCCCAACTACAACTCCTGCACGCTGACACTGGCTTCCCTGGAATAAACCCCCATCATGTCGGCTCTTTTCAATATTAAACCCAGAGTTGCAGAACAGCTTGTACTGCAACTGCCTCTCTCATCAGGAGGGAAAAAAAGGCCAAACCTAAGCAAACCCACACCAAAACCAGAGCCTGGAAACACCACCTGAGCCTGCAGTCATTCAAACAGATGGTGAGAGCGGGGTGAGCTGCCTCCAGCTCTGCTCTGCTGCTGCACAAAGGCTGAAGTGCCGTTGAAGTGCTGAGAGGAAACCTCGACTTGATCACTTCTGCCTTCATTAGCCAAGCTTGTGCCTTTGCAAGGGAAAGGCAGCCCTGGGTGGGCTCTACCATCCCACCCACAACCCCATCTTGCTAACGTGCTGCCAACGCAGCAGCTTGCAGCCTATTCCAGGGAAAGTTAAAAAAAAAAAAAAGTAATTAAGTTTTTAATGAAGCCTGAAATTTAACAGGCAGCTTTGTAATCCCTGCATCCTTCGTGCCAGGAAACGTGCCTGGGAGGCAGCCAGGACGCTGCCCTTCAGCGGGGCCAGCCTGACCCCTTTGGTCCCCATCGCCTTTTTGGGGGACGACCTGCTTCGGGCACGTTCAGGTTGCGAGGTCACCGCAGGAGGGGAACGGGGAGCAGAGGGGAGAATCAGCCCACCGGTGGGCAAAGCCACAGCGCCAAGGAAACGCATCGTGGGGAAGTCAACACTGGAGCTAGCCCTGCGACTGCCCTGGGACCTTCCAGAAGACACATATCGTCTTGATACGGGATAGCCCGGAGGGATAAACCAGACTCACCTCCATGCAGTCTCCTAAGACGAACTCGTAAATGATGAAGGATATCAGGTTGCCACTTGTCATTTGCCCCGAGATCACGAGGTGCCCACCGTAGTAAAGGATGCTGACTTGGACCACCAGGAGGGTCAGCTGAAAGCGAGAAAACACCCCAAAATCAGCAAGGACAACTGCATTTTGGTGCATTTGTAATTACTCACACAACAACCCACAATGCATGTGCAGACATTTATTCTTTGAGCCCCGAACTGAGCATCCCTGCCAGGGCACAGCTGACAGCCCTAGCAGCGAGCACGGATGTGAGAAAGAAAAAAGGACTCAAGTGGATGGGCTGATGTAAGGAATGGGCTGGCATCTTTCAACAAAACAGAAGTCTAGAGGGGCAACAGCCAAGGAGGGAGAATTTATCTGAAGTAACGGAGCATCTCACGAACTTCTCTCTTGGACTAACGTCCTCAAGGGCAATAATCTACGCTCAAATTATCCAACGCATGCAGTCGCCTCACCACTAAAATAAATGTTCTGTTATAGGAGTGTGACACATTTTAATTTAGAGCACAAAATCAAGCCAAGAGTTAAGGCAAAAAATCCTCCTTGAATGTACAAGTCCCTGAAGCATAACCTCAACTCTTGCCTGAAATCAGTGCGGGGGGGTACCACCTACTCTAGAAAGGAGACAGATCAGCTCTGACATGACAAATACCAGCCCCTGCCTTTATTCCACCAGTTCTGTTCCACGCTGCCCGGGTGCAGCGGCGATGTCCTGGTGCTCTGTGCGACGTTTGCGGGACAGGCTGTAAATTCACGCAGACAAAAATACTGGGGAAAAAAAATTCCTCCTCTGTTTTTCTGCCATGATCTGACCTTAAGATCCTGTATGCCCTCAGAAAGACTCTGCCAGGGCTGCGCTAAATCCATCGGCTTCTGTCTACGCGAGCCCCGCAGGAGCGGTTTTTGAGGGTTTTTGCCTCCTTTGACTCAGCGGGATCTGTGTTGACCCAGTTCACGCTCCAGCTTCACCTGGGAGCCCAGAAACAATGCTGAAAATGCTCCGATTTTGCTTCCAGACTTGGGACGCCATAAAGCCTCCCAGGGCTGCACGAGGGCACCGTAACTTGCAAACCTGTCACCAGAGGGTACTTAGATCCTTGAACGTGCAGAGATAAGGGCAGCCTCACGTGAGGGTTCTGCACAGCCTTAGTTATTGGCTGATGCAGGAGAAGTCCCAAACCATCTGGTCTTAAGTGATAAAAAAGCATTTTGAAAAAAAACCAAACCACCAAACAACCAAAAAAACCCTAAACTCCAGCAGCCTCCCCCTGCCACCACCCACACGCAGAAAATCTCCGTTTCTTAGCAGAAGCTCAACCAACGCCGCGGCTGTTTCCCAGCCGGAGCCCCGGAGATGAGCTGGCACAGGCACGCAATGCAGCAACACAGAAACACGGGGTTTTCCATGACCTTGAGCAGTTATCAATTATATTCTTATTTGCAAGAGAAAACAGACTGTTCGATGGCACGATGCAGCGCTGCCCTCGGGGGGAACGGGATATATTTTTTGGATGAGTGAACAAAAAAATAATCAAGAGACAGAGGATTACTGGCAGCGGACAGCAAGGCTGGGCTCGCCCCGCAAAGCTCCCTGGAAGCGGCGGAGATACACGTACATCACGCCACGTGCGTTTTGGGATCCGAAGCAATGTCCCCTGCCTGTCCCCAGCCCCGCGTAGGGAAGCCCTGGTGTCCACCACCTACCCCGCTGGACCAGACGTAGTAGGTGTAAGCCATGGCCTCCCGCTTGTTGAGCTTGTACACCTGCTGCAGCTTCTGCCAGTACACGTTCGCCTCCGCCTCCTCGTTGGCAAAACTGCGGACGGTCTTCATGGCGGAGATGGTCTCCTCGGCGGTGTTGTTGGCCTTGGCCAGGGCGTTCTGCACGTCCTTGGAGAGCTTCTGCGGGGAGCGGGGGGAGGCAGAGGGGGCTCAGCGGGCGCCGGGCTGCCTGCGGCACCTCTCCCTGCACACCCCAGGCTCTGCTGGGCTTGGGAAAAGAAGGCACGGTGACATTTTCCAAAGCCATGGGCAAGAAGGCTGAGCACTGGGATGCATCCCACACCTCTGGACAGCCTGGGGTGCTGTGCCAGGAGGAGAACGGATTCGTTGTGCTGTCCCCAAGGAGGGACTTGGGCTGCAGGAGGTGAAGTGCCATGCCTGAGCTCACTTGGGAAGCCTGCGGCAGCGCTGCTGCTCCTGGTGCCCTGATGGGACAGGCCAGCACAGGAGCCCGCCCAGGAGTTTCCAAGCCAGGGACAGGTCTGGAGAGCGAGGGCAGCTCCACTCCTCCCACAAGCACCTGACCTGCAGGAGGAGCCGTAGCCGGGGGAAGCAGCACCCAAGGGACCCTGCGCTGGCAGTGCCCGTGCACGCCGTGTCCCCAGCACGCAGTGGAAAGCACCGATAACCAACGTGGTGCAGCAGTGCAGGACTCGCATGGTCCACAGGATGCAGCATCAGCCACGGGGGGCGACCCTGGGCCCGCACGCGCCCCAGGCAGAGCTCGGCACTGGGTTTAATCCCCACCCAAGTCACTCCAAAGGGAGGGGAGAGGACAGGGCAGATTGCACAAGGGCAGGCAGGCACATATGGGACATCCCATGGCCAAGCGACCTCTCCTGTCAGACCCAAGATGCTTTGAGTCCTGAGCATGAAGCAAGGCAGGAGCCGAGGTCACGCCTGTCTGCCCATACAGGTTTAGTGCCGCCTTCCTGCCCCACTGCTGGCAGCAAAGCACCCGAGCATCAGTCCCACCAGCTCCAAGGCCACCCACAATCTCCACGATGGCTTCACAAGGGGAACAGCCCAGTGTTGTGGCACACCATGGCCACACCAGCTTCTCCTGCCTACCTTGTAGTACTTCCCATAGACATCAGACACCAGCATGATGATGGGGAAGCCCATGAAGGTGACGAGCGAGAGCTTCCAGGAGAGGCTGAACATGAAGAAGATCACCCCTGTGGCCTTCACTACGTTGCGCAGGAAGATGTTGATGTTCTGGGAGACCAGGTCACTGACGATGGTTGTGTCTGATGTCAGGCGGGAGATGACGTCCCCTGCAGCAACGAGGGGTTGGGAAGGGGAGAGCAGGGACGTGTCACCACAGCAGGTCACTGCCTAGCCACATCCCATGTCCCGTGCCAGGGGCCAGACGGAGCTCCCTGTTCAACCCACCCCTCACTGGGGGTCTGAAGGGCGGCATGGAAGGAGGGCAACTCTCCACCACTGTAGACACGCAGCGAAACAGAGGAGCTTGAATTGCTGCATGCGCGAGGGACACAAAATGCATCTGAAGGCACGAGCTACATCCCTGGGTCACCAAGGATGGCTGCAGGAAAGCGAAGGGGACTGCGGCAGCACCCTACACCGGAGGGCACCCTGAGGGCACACACATGGGCAGCGGGTATGTGGGTGGAGTGTTTGCTGGGCTGCTGAACGCATCTCCAGAGCTGTCCACTCAACCCTGAGCTCATTTCTCAATGACACCAGGAGCCCTCCAGGAGCTCACCAGGGACTGCTGGCACCTTTCCCCGCAGGACCGGGGACAACACACCCTGCGGAGCACGAGGCGGCTTCGGAGAGGGCTGTTTGGGTTTATCCATGTGCCCCAGAGCCTGGAGATGACCCAAGTGACCCTGAGGACACGGGTCCAGCAACTAAGGGGTGAAGGTCCTGCAGTGCCCTTTGGTGGAGCTGAACATTACAGCCAGCAAACATCGCCCTGAATTCCTATTTGGCCCGTGTTTGAGTCCAGCTGAATTCCCATGCTTTTGTGTAAGTCCAGGGTTACCCGTATCCCACTTACAATAACATCTCTGGTGTCCTCAGCTACCAGGACGCTGTGCGGCGATTGCTAAGTATGGCAACAGCCTCAAAACTAAAAATATCATCGAGAAGAAATTAAATGTGGGAAAAATTACAGCGGGCTGGGACCACACCAGAGCAGCACGGACCAGGACAGGACTGAACGGCAAGCAGGGAAAGCCACAAGCATGCCCAGGAAGCTTCACACATCTGAGGTTTCCCACGCCCAGAGCAGAGCTGGAGAGTGGCTGATCAGCAGGCACTGACGGGAGGTGAGCGAGGAGGAAAGTGGGTGTTTTGGGGGTGACCGGAGGTGAGCACGTCAGCCCTGGGACTGCTGGATGTCAGGCTGATCGGTGGCAACGGGACATCCCCAGGGTGCTGGGCAATCCTGTCCCAACCCCACGGCAAGAGGCAGCCGAAAGGGAAGAGCTTTCTGCCGCTGTTTCTGAACACAAGCACTTGGGTGCCGTCTCTAGCTGCCCCCAGTCGCTACGTGCTGGTAGGGTAAACCAAGGGGAAAAAAATATCGGGAGGGGATAGAGGGGTCGGAGCAAATCCAGGGCAAAGGAGAACCAACCTGTGCGATTCTCATCAAAGAAACTCATCTCCTGAGACACCAGCGACCTGAAGAGGCAGTTGCGAAGGCGAATGTTCAGTCTTGCAAATATGAGCGTAAAAACGCCGCCCCGGATACCTGCGGCAAATGAGCTAATTGCAGATAAGAAACGTTATAGACCAATGGACACGAAACCCGCTCCTTAGCAACACAAACACCCCGACGCCCGGGCCAAGGGCTTGGGCAATGCTGCGCTGGTACCACTTTCCACCCCGGGAAGCGATGGCTGAGCCAGCCCACGCCTCCTCTGGGTGCTGCCAGCACAGGGACAGCTGGTTCTAACCCCCGTAGTGACAAGCTTCGGGAGGGGACGCAGCGCTGCCGGGCCAGCGTTCCCCAGGGAGCCCATCCCCTGCGTCTGCTCCTGCTCCCCCACCGCCAGCAGACGGACGCGGAGGGCTACGGCCTCGTGACTCCCACCGTGGCCTCTCTGCGTCGTGACGGCGCAGAGCAATCAAAGCGCGTCCCTGGGGTCTGGCAAGAACTTGGTGGAGCGGCTGCTGTTGAGACAGCCCGTGCCCACCACTGCCACTGTGAGCTCCTGCGGGAAAACCCCAAATTCCTCCTCATCAAGGCCAAAACCAGCCCCTGCGATTACCTTCCTATGGCGAGCAGTGACATGACCAGCACTGCCGTGGAGAAGCGGTCCATGCTCTTCTGCACCACGATGCCATCGATGGCCAGCCCCGTGTAGTAGGGCAGGAAGGTCTCTCCTGCCGGACAAGGACAGGACATGGGGTTTCAGCCCCACCATGTAGGATCAGCACAGGACCTGTATTTCTAACTGCAACGGCCCAGGGACACCCCATCCCCATCACAGAGACACTCAGCCATCACACGCGATGTCTCAGGACGTGCAGCTCCTAGTGGCACATGTTTCATTTCCCAGGGTATTTTATCCCCTATTGCTTTTTTTTTTTTTGTCCCATTGCATTTTTTACCCAGCTCATGC